CGCTCTTAGTCTGACCCGTCACCCAGGACCTGTTTGCCTTGGGAGACCCTACCAGGGACATATAGCCCCGACAACATAGCTCCTAGGATCACTCGGGTACTCAAACCCCTCCACCACAATAAGGTGGTGGTTCAAGGAGGGGCATAATTAATAATAGCTAAAACTAAACTAAGATTCTAAACTAAGCCAGTCAAAATTTGAATCACGAAATGCAATAAGATGTACCAGTAAAACTCAATTTGATGTAATGCGGCCATATTAGACTTTATTATGCATCAATTCTTATCTAAATTGCAGAGAAAAGCTGCAAAAAACCTGCTGCTTTTCTCACTTCTGAATAAACAAGGCTGTTTGTCAGTGGAGGACGTCTCTGTCCCAGGGGCTTCTTTTTCTCTGGCCTAAAGTTGTTTAACTCTGGTTCAGCTTGTCCACCTTGCCCTGTTTGTCCTCTACAGGCTGATACAACACATATATTAAAAGTAGAGGCACAAGGTACACTGTAGAGACAGTTTCCTACATGTGTATTTACCTTGATTTTGAAAATGTTTGACTGAGGAGATACTAAAGGCATCTCTCTTCCTGTAGGATGGAGGGCTTTTAATTAACAACCCCACAGCCTTGGCCATCCATGAGTGTAAGTGTCTGTGGCCTAACACTCCACTGCAGTGTGTGCTGTCTCTGGGCACTGGACAGTATGAGGCAGTAGACAAGACCAGCACAACCTACACGAGCCTGAAGGCCAAGCTCACCAACGTCATCAGCAGTGCCACAGATACCGAGGGTAAGACCACACGAGCTGTTACTGTATGTATGTTTGACGTCCCACACAGTTATTTATAAACCACAAATTAGAGATTTGCAGTCACACTGCAAAATATCTTGCTGAGTGCACTGTCTTGAACTGAAAACTAAAAGAGAAAAACCCCTCAATTATTGTTTCAGAGGTGCATGCCATGCTGGATGCCCTCCTACCTCCTGACACCTACTTCCGGTTTAACCCCTATATGAGCGAGGACATCCCTTTGAACGAGAACCGTGTGGAGAAGCTGAACTTTCTCAAGAGCGAGGGGGAGCGCTACCTGGAACGCAACGAGGCCAAGCTGAAGAAGGCAGCCATTGTACTGGGCCAGGAGAAGAGCACAATCCAGAGACTGGCTGAGTGGGCCAAGCTCAAGGCCAACATGTATGATGGCCTCCCATTCAAATCCAAACTGTAGTTAGCGGAGTTTTTAAGGTAAGAAGACCTGGTGAGTACGTTTTGAAAAGCGAGCAAACTGAACATTTCCTAAGCCTCCAGGGAGGAAATTTGAAACAATATATCAAATGTTTACATGGTTTGATCATCATCTTCCTAACACTAAAAACAAAATACTGTACATAACAGTGTGAAATTACAGAAAGGATGTAATTTGTTCTGTGTGGGACAGGATGTGTGTGAGACAGAATAATATACTCATGAAAAGATTCACTTGACTGGCCTGAGGAAGGAAATGCATGTGTATGCAGGTTCATTAATGTATGAATTTAAGCTGGCTGAGAATGTTAGTACACAGATGATAATGTGGCACTGACACATGACAACATTACAGGTGATAAGAATTAATGCCAATAAGGATAGCTGTGTATAATTTGTAAATGTAAAAATTTTCAGTCATTTGAAAGCATTAAGGTTTAAGTCAAACATGACTGCACAGTGAGAAGATTAACACTGTATAGATGACAGAGACCGTGCGCTTTGTAAAATTTAATTATTTATTTCTCATAAGGGAAAAATGCAAATAATATTTGAAGTAATAATGACTTCTGAGTGCTCTTGCTAAGATTATGAATAAGAAATATTGCTACTTCTTAATTTCACTGTCTTGTATTAGCACATAGAGCTACACAGACATCTGCTGTGATATTTGTATTAAAGTATTACAATATGATTAGTATTACCACCATACTGCAACACATGTTCTACTCTGTTCAGCAGTGAATTGTGGTTGATGACACTTTTGCTTTAACCTTGTTCATGCCTGAATTACTCAATCTTTGTGGCCTTTCGTTGTTGTACACTTTATAAATTTGACACACATTATCCATTGCTTGTCATTGCCTGGTGGAATGCAGAAAGAATTGTCATGAAAAAATAAATATTTGCTTCAGAACCTCGACATAAATGATCACTTTTTTATATTGTGCTCTGAAAATTAGTATGTTGGAAATACTGCATATACACCTGGAATATTATTTGATTTTATTAGTGTTTATGTGCTCATCTGCTGCCGCAAACTTAACACAAACATCACAAAGAGCCCCAAAATGGAGTCGTTACTAAGGAATGCTAAGTGTCCTGCTATGAGGAATTGCTTTTTCTCAATTGCACACGTTGAATTTCTGTCTTATTGTTTTGATCCCTTTGAAGATCAACTGAAATTCCATGGCATCATTCCTCTCAGACACACCGTTGTTACCCCAGTCAATGTGAGCAATATGTCACAGGGAAGTACACCTACAAACCTCTACAACAATGACACACCAGAAGTATAGAATAATACAGTATCTCAAGTATTTACCTTGACCAAGGTCTCGTTCCTGGTTGCAGACTGTCAAATTTGTAACTGGCTTGGGTTGATGGCCCTTCTTTTCCAAATGCCATCTTGAGCTTGAGATGAAGAGGTGCATGGAGGCCTAAGTTCTGTGCCTAAGGACCTTTTGGGGTCTCGTAGGATGTTGGATTAATTGTAGTTTAGGTTTATGGCATTGTTTAAAAAAATGCTGATAGCAGGTAGTTTCAGTCTAATCTGCTTAGGTTTTGAAATGTAAGATTCTGAGAATTCTTTCACTGCCTTGAAAAACAGGGTTGAATTTTTTTTTCTTTTCTATACTTGATCAATGAGTAGCACTAACACGTTTCCTTCACTCCCGTTGTTTTGGTATTATCATACATCAAAATACATAAAACCAGAACCATAGGCATCACTACATTATCTAAATGTTTTGTAAGAAATCAGCTCAGATTTTGCAGAACTTTGTATTCAAGCACAGTACAAAATAGAATTTATGTTTCCTGATAGGCTGTGTCTTTGACAAGCACAGCCAAGACAGACAAATGGGTTGAAGAAGAGACTAACACTCTAGTGATGTTTTCCTTGAGTGTGAAGGGCCAGAGTGCCATGGCGTCCACACTTATGACTGCTGCCTTGTATGTATTTAGATTTCTGTTTATCTGAACCTCTCTCTGCCCATCCATCATGTAACCAGAGAGAGAGAGAGCTAGATGGTGTGTGTGTGTGTGTGTGTGTTTATAGATATACACTGCTCAAAAAATTAAGGAAACACTTAATTCACACATTGGATCTTGATTAACAAATTATTTAAGTACTTATGTACATTATATTATTTGTTCAGAACAAAATGACATAACAGTGGTCAATGGAAACCAAAATCATCAACCCATGGAGGGCTGTATTCAAAATCACACTGAAAATTAAAGTGAAAAATTGAAATCACAGTCTCATCCAAGTTGTGTGAATTTCATCATGGCAACTCATAATGTGGCTCATAAGTGTGTATGGCCCCTGTCTGCCAGTATGCACTCCCGACAATGTCTGGCGGTGCTCCTGATGAGTCAGCGATGGTGTCCTGGGAGATCTTCTTCCAGACCTGGATCAGGGCATCACCGAGCTCCGGGACAGTCTGTGGTGGTACCTGGTGGTGTTGGATTCACCTAAATATAATGTCCCATAGGTGGCCAATTGGATTTAGGTCAGGGGAGTGCCTTCGTCATCCAGGAACTGTCTTCACACTCTGGCCACATGGAGCTGGGCATTGTCTTATTTGTTGTCTTGCTTTTGCATTACAATAGAAATGAGGAAGAACCAACTGATTCATACATCCCATCTGTCACTGCAGATGACAAAAACCAGCCATCCCACTCCTCTTGCCTGGGTCATCTCAGGATATGTAGCGTAAAGAAGTTTGCATCTATGAGTGAGAGAAAAACCCAGCTGCTTCACATCAGCACTTGTCAGATGTACTGTAGCTTAATTTAGGAAGAGAGGAAGGCTGTTGTGTAAACAGTAACAGTACAGCAGGTATCTGGTAGCTGTCACAGAGACATTGTCTCTCTCATATATCCTGACCTGTATAAACTGGTTTTAAAGTACACAGTGCCCCAGACAGGTTTTGGCATAGTTCCCAAAAATGTAAAATGATAGTGAAACATGTTAAGTGTTTTTTCTTGCAAAAAAATAATTTTAAAGGATGCTTGTTAATCAAAGACTTGTATTTGACCCCATGGAACAGGAAAGAAAGAAAATATATCGAAGGCCAGAGACTGTTTCACACTTGACAGAGGTACTGTATGTCTGAAATGTCACACTGTAAAAAAAAAATTTGTTCCTCATCACATCGCCTCACTGAAAAGAAACTGTAGAACAGTTTACACAGTGGTGTAGTTCTCCACAGACCTCTGCCAGTCGGTTAGTGTGGGGACACACCTACACTGACAGTTCCTATTTATTTAGCACCCCTGCACCAATGTCTGACTGAGTCCACTGCAATGTCCATGCAGTACAAACTCTGTCTTCTAGGTCCACATTAAGATATTTACTGAGCTTTCAAATCACTAAGTTAGTCCATAACAGTGTTAGGTCTTGCACATACAGAAACAAACACAAAAACATAATTTATCTAATATGAAATCACATTTCATGAGAAGAGCTCCATTGCTCAAACTCATCATTGTTTCGGTCCAAGCCTCCACGGTGGACTTGTCACTGTGAGTGCTGCTGCATGCACCTATCATGTGAAGACATTGCACACACAGTGGGTACGGAAAGGATTCAGACCCCCTTAAATTTTTCACTCTTTGTTATATTGCAGCCATATGCTAAAATCATTTAAGTTCATTTTTTCCTCATTAATGTACACACAGCACCCCATATTGACAGAAAAACACAGAATTTTTGACATTTTTGCAGATTTATTAAAAAAGAAAAACTGAAATATCACATGGTCATAAGTATTCAGACCCTTTGCTGTGACACTCATATATTTAACTTAGGTGCTGTCCATTTCTTCTGATCATCCCTGAGATGGTTCTACACCTTCATTTGAGTCCAGCTGTGTTTGATTATACTGATTGGACGTGATTAGGAAAGCCACACACCTGTCTATATAAGACCCTACAGCTCACAGTGCATGTCAGAGCAAATGAGAATCATGAGGTCAAAGGAACTGCCTGAAGAGCTCAGAGACAGAATTGTGGCAAGGCACAGATCTGGCCAAGGTTACAAAAACATTTCTGCTGCACTTACATAGGCAACATTATACATTGTCATGTGGTCTTTTATCCTATGTTCACCAGATGATTATGGGCAGGATGATTTTTTGAATCTGATGAAGATGTCCTATGAAATGGCTAGAAAAACAGTAGAGTATCACAGTACCACAATAAATATTTTAAGTCCTATTGTGGACTCCACTTAACTGTTTTAGGCATTGCCCAAATGTATAAACATACTGTATGTTAAGGTGTTGGGAGTGTCACTGATTAAACAGCAAAATCACATTTTACTGAAACAAATTATAAAAACTTAACAAATCTAGCAATCAAATTATAAAAAAGGAACCTATACATTTTTACCAATAAATTAAAAAATTTCAGGAAACCCACATCTTAAATTTCACAATAATATACAGGAAACATAGGTTTAGAAACAGGTTTACAATTAAAAAATGAATGAATGAATGACACTTTATTATAGACTCAAGGTCCAAGTTCAGAACAAATAGACAACAAAAGAACAGTTAAAAAGAAACAAATAATAAATAATAATAAAAAAACTCTGTCACTGATACAAAGGTTTACAGGTAATATTTGAAAATGTGTTATTAGATAAAGCATTTCTTCACAGGGTTATTGTTTATTTCACACAATTCTATCTGCAGGTCTTGTTGCTGCCGCGCGTAAAACGGCGTCGCTGCAGATTTTTCTTTCTGCACAGCAGACGGCGAGGACTGACAGAGAGAGGGGGAAAGAGAGAGGTCTCACTTTTATATGATCTCCGTCCACCCACAAGTAGCCTCACGTACAGTAGAGACTAGAACTATCAGTTATCAATCGATAGGTTGATACGCAAATTAGTCTGACAGTTAATACATTTTTTGAGCACGAGCAACAATTGACAAATATTCACAGATTCCACCTTCTCAAACGCCCTTATTTGCAGAGCCGGAGAACGGACCGGGCTTTCCCTGATGAATGTGTCGTCTTTCGGAAGCATAAACGATCTTTGTTGCTGCTGGGTTTTGACAGCGGCGGGGGGAGCTGGTGGAGAGAGCGGAGAATCCGTGTGGACCACAGCTTGCTGCTGCAGCGGCTGAGGGGGATGGACAGGCTGTCCGGGTACGGTCCCTCAAACACACAGACACATATACACACTTCAGTTTTGTACCGTATCATCACACTAACTGCCTAAGGAGGAAACAGAGCTGATTTGCGACGGTGAGTCTGAACACGCCACTTTGTTTCCTTTTTTCATTTTCTCCCTTGTCTTCAGTATCATCATATGTGGCTGTAGAATAATGGTGCGGTGGATGTATCGAGTCGGTGCGGTTTCATTTGTCACAGCATGCCGGTAATGCCGGTGCAAATAATCTAGCAACATGGAGACGCCTGACGCCGATTGACGTGTTTTATCTGGATTGTGCTGCGCATCAAAGCCAGACCACTGCAGCCCGTGTCCTCTCCGCACTGCACGCACTGCATGAGAGAAAGCAATGTGTTCATCGGCTGCTGTACTGACTGGATTCCGTGGTGGGTTTCTGCTTATTGCTGCCGGACGGTGCAGGCAGGCCCACAGCGCCGACAGGGTGATTTGGTATCTGCCGGCGATGATGCTGTCAGCTGTACCTCAGCATCTCTAGGTGTCATCTCGTGTGTTTTCCTCCCTGTCCTTTGACATAAAAGGCATATTTTTATATATGACTTGGAGACGTGAATCGGCAGTCGGTGCCTACTGATCAACCAGGGAGTTTCCTTTCTTTGTATTGATTTTCGCATAAAATGAAATGCAGGTTTTCACAAAGTCAAATTATTGTTGATATTTGTAGGGTTTTGCCCCCAGAATGGTGTCAAATTCTCGACAGGCGTTTTAAATAGAGGGCGAAATATCTTTCTACGTGTTGGGCTGCGCAGACAGAAAATGACAAGAGAGGAGACAAATTTTAAAGATTTATCTCGAATAAATTGGAGAATAAGATTCGTCATTAAGATATTTTAAAACATTTGATATTTAAAAAATAATAATATTAAACCCACCATTTGGAGTTAGGATTAGAATTAAAATGATTTTTCAATTAGACATGGCATTTGATCATTGATGGGGGAGGCAAAGTGCAGGCTATCTTTGTTGTGTGGATGTGTGTAGGGGGAATAGAGGAGTCAGCAGTCCAGGTATGTTTTGATAGTGCAGGTACTTTGCTGCCTTTATAATATACACTATACCTCCTTATTGCTGCATAACAATCTGTAATCATCCCTTTTCAAGGCCTATATTGTTTCTCTGCCATCATGTAAACAGAGTTGTCCTGTGTAGCTCATGATCAGGAACAGACCAATAGTTTAATTTCCATTGGGTGTCACTGCATATAAAACTAGTTGTTTGTTTGCAGTATCCAGTGTGGGACCAGTGGATAACACAACTGACTACAAAACAGTCCAAGACTAAGAGGAACTGCTGTGATGATGACAAGAATGGGACTATCTGACAATGTGGAGTCAAAAGTGTGTTATTTCATGCAGTGGCAATATTTGCTGTCCCCATCTGGTCTTGCTCTAAACACAATAAGATACAATTTTACAAGTTCTAGTTAGCTTGTTATCTTTACATTGAGGATCGCAGTGAGAGCTGAAAGGAAACAGCAGACATGTGTTACTGTCTCCCTCTGAGTTCTGTTTTCCTCACTTGAGAACTCTGAGCCTTTAAATGCGGCTCTGCAGTGGTGCAGTTAGCACCTTATGTCACAGCCCACACAACCAACACAATAAAAGCTAAGATGAGACCATGACTGGAAAGATACTCTAAGCTGCCAATTACTCAGCATTCACTTCATAGTATTTGTTTGCAATAGTTTTTAGTAAAACCTGTTTTTCCTATAGTGCTCAGGACAACTAAGAATGTCTACTGTGAAAAAGGCATGTCTTTTACACTGTGTCAGCAAACATACTTCAAATTAATCTATTTGCATTTTTAAAATATTGAGCATATGATATGGTTTGTTATTTGTTTGTTTCATCAAGTACTTGTAAAAACTATTAATTGAAAGAGTGAGAGGGGCTATTAATCATTTAGTAAAATGAGGAGTAATTTTTTCAAATTCAGCATCTCATTTAGAAAATAAATCATATACTGTACATGTAACGCTGTGGTGTGTCATGGAATGGCAGGTATGGTGTGTTGGCACTGTGCACCATAACCGCAGCTGGTGAGCTGTATGTCCCCATGAGACATGGCAAGACATGACTTCAGTCTCCTGCAGTAACTCCTCAGAGTGTCAGGGCAGAGCCAGCACTGAGACATTACTCATGGCAGCTGCGGTGTCATCGTCACTATCACACTCTCTCACTTATCCGCGGCCCATTAGACACGTGTCAGGTGATGGAGCTTATGGTTGGTTTAGGTGCTTTCTCATTCTGCCCACTGTTGCCTTAATTGATGAGACAATGTTCAGAGAAGGGAGATGCAAAATATTGGTTTCAGGCTGTTTGGGGATCAGGAATGAAGTGTGACTTGTGGCAGGGTGGAATAAGCCCATGACTTTCTGACAGATCTGGACAAAGAAATGAAAGTTTCTTTCTGAAATCTTAGTTCTAGTTTAAACATGGAAGAAAACTTCATATATGTTGAGATAATGATAAACTGGCAGACTAATGCTGTCTTGCTTGTTAAAAAACAAGAAGCTAGAAAACCCTCACATTTGAGAAGCAGCAGATTTGGCTATTTCACTAAATTATAGTCTTAAACATTAAATTTTTATGCAGCAGCATCCCATATTTACTGTTGTGAGAAAAGCACTTTGCACATCTACATTAGAAAGCTGCATAATGTTGCTTTTCTTTTTTTGTAACACTGCATACTATACTGCAATTATGGTTTTAATTCTGAATCCCCACACAGTGCTGCTTTTTTTAATTCACCCCCAGAGGTTATGCAGCTGATTCCCTGCATTAGCAACTGCCAGGAAAGTACGCAGGTGCACATGTTAATGAAGTCATATCAAGAGTATCCTGGGCTTCTGTCTCAGTGTATACTCCTGGCATCTCTGAGGCCACTGTGAAAGCTGCAGCCAAATGAAAACTAGCATCATCGATTCTAAACTTTTAGTTAATAGCGTCAGCACTCTGTGGTGATGGTGGTGGATTTGAGGGTGGGAGGGGCACAAACATAACCCGACACACTTATTGTACCCCCACGCCCTTGGCTCACACCTAACCATCTTTAGGTGGTTGTTTTCATTAAGGGACTGGGACACATAAAATTAGCATGATTGGCTGATGAACTGGAAAATTTGAGAGAGTTAAAGCCAGGGCTGTGGAGTTTGACATTCTGCTGCTGCTGGTAGAGATCTGAGAGAGCAGATGCTGTTCTTCCTACTGCCTTCCTTTTATGCAAGATGTTGTTATTGCTGGATGAAAAATCTGCTTTTTTCCACAGTGAAGGCTGTAAGGGGTTATGAATTCAGCTCTGTTAACTAGACAGGCTTAATTTGAACAAGACAGTTTAATTGCAAGTATCAGATCATCATGGGCTTATCTACACCAGAGCCACTGCTCTTAAGGGTAAATTCAGTGTATTGCACTGGGATACCTAAGGGGCAGAAAGCAGTGGAAAGGAAAGGTAAGAGGATATGAAAGGAAAGGAAAGAGGATATGAAAAGAAAGGAGAGCTGGGGGGGAGGAAAAAGGAGAGAAGAGGGAGGACAAGAAAGAAGTGAGGAAAGGAGGGAAAGACGAGTGATGAGTGAAAAGGAAAAAATGAAGAGGAAATGAGAAGAGGAGAAAGCTAAGTCCTGTTATGGAGAGAAGACAAGTGGAATTAAGTTAGTGGGAGGAAAGCGCTGCAGTGAAGAAGAATGGAGAGGAGCGGAGCGGTGTGCTGTTGTGATCACCAGCTGTACCAGGCTGCTTCTGAAGTAGAGCTGGAGACTGGAGATTGACTAGAGGAGACACAGTGCGCTACTCCTGTAGACACACCCACACACACGCACACAGACTCATTCTATAATGCAAACGCCAACACACTCACATGATGAATAAGAATTGGTAGCTCTAACTTGTATTCACCTTTTTCACCTCATATACTTGTATATATATATATATATATATGTCCACACAAGCTCTTTGAAATATCATCAGTAGGTGTGAGTCTGCCTGTAGGCCCTACATGAGGCCTTTGTGTGGATCAGGTTCACAGCAGATGGGAGAGTGGGTGTGAGCAGGGGAGTTGCCAGACTGGTAGTAGCTGTCACTTGCTGAGTGTGAAAACATACAGTATCAGCATATCTGTCTGAGCGGATGGTTTTACTTTTATTCTGAGTCATATAGAGGTTTTTATTTGTTTTCACTACAGTTTGATTTGAGTGTTCATAGCTGGAATTGTCAATGCCTTATGGTAGATTATTATTTTAATGCCCACAATTTTATAGCTTGGTTAACAAGGAAGAGCCATATGAATAGCAGACTGATTTGACAGAGTGAAGAAAAAAAAGGTATAAAATCATATCGAGACCATATGGTCACATACTGTATATCCTCTTTTTTTTTAACCTGTGTAAGGAAAACAAAGGAGGAATGTTCAAATCCCAGTGGTGGGAATGTAAGTCATTCTACAACAGACTTGAAAATAATAATACCCCCATCCAGGAGAATCTTTGTCACAGCTCTGAAATGATTAGTGAGGATCTAGGTCAAAGCTGTTAAAGAAGTCCTCTTGTCACATCAAACATTCAGTTGGTTTCAAGGCACCGACATCACAACTGGTGTGAACCAGCTGGATGTTTTTACAGGGCATAACTGAATCTGTCAGCTGTGACAGATTTATTTATTCATTATATATGCTGCTGTGAAGCTTTGAAAGATGAAAACTGACTCTTTTTTAAGATTCTTTTCTCGTAGGCAGGTACTGTATCTTTTTGAGAGATTATTCTGATGGGAAATTTATCTTAAAGCTTTCACATTATTTGTAGAGTAGATACTTCATTGGCTCATAGCTGACAGCGTTCATGCTACTCATACAGAGGACCCTAATACAAAGCTTGTTATTTCCTATACCTTATCTCAAAAGAATAATCTGGTTACAAATGTAAGAACCCACTTGTTCAGAGGACACTTTCTATTGAGCATCTGCTAATCATTATTATGGTGTGGGGAAGAGCAGCTCTAGTTCAATGTAGCCTGCATATGTCCTCGCTATCCTGCTCCAGAGAGAACGCTTTTCTGAGCCT